TGCTGAACACCACTGAACAGTCGACACACCTAAATATTTTTAATATTTTGTTTAGATAAAAAATAATGGTGTAACTTTTAGACCTACATTTTTTTTTTTACTTTTCAGTTAACACACAAAAGGTCCAATTGTAGCAGGTTTGGGACTTTCAACTGCATCACACAATCTTCTTCCACAAATGACATTTTTAAGGTCAATCATAAACTTTCATTCGTTGTCAACATGGACACAAAATCCATAAAGTGCTGAAAACATCTGAAAAACTAAAATTTCATGGCAACCATGAGAAAATTCGTGATATGATCAAATGCTACCATTGTGCCCTTGTGGTGAGGCCGTAGAGAACAAGTGAAAAAGATGAAAGTATGATTCTGTAAATTTGTTTCAGTAGAGTTATGTGCTGATTCAGTAGGGTGGCTTTTGCACAAAAATGAAATATTAAAACTTCTAAAGAGAGCCTTCACAAATAATCAGTTAAGTCAAATAAGAAAATAACTGTTAAAATAATCCATTACAGTTTTTCACAATTGCTAAAACAATAAACCCCATTCTCTGAACCAAATTCTCAACAGCCTAAACCAATTTGTCGAATAAATCACTCTTTCTGCAAAACCTTAAACAAGTTCAGGCACATAGACTCTGTTAACAAATCTCATGCACTCTTTTTGCTAAACTCTAAACACATTCTCACTAAAACACAATTCGCACTGTGATGAACCTGTGTTGCAAAACACTAAACAGAGGACAGCAGAACTTAAACACAACTAAAGCACAGTTGTCATCGTTTACACACAACGATTCAAAATTGTTCACACTTGTTTCTAATTATGTGATGAGAAGGTACAAATCATAAGCCAGTTCAAAGTGCACAGATGGCACGGGTACATCCATCAACTATGGATAACAATATGAGAGGTAGAGGAATATGAGGTGTTGGACAAAAAGGATGAGGAAGAGTAAGACCTTCCACCATACAGCACTTTCCTCAAGCCAACAGAAGAGTTTTGCTCTGCATGGCGGTGGAAAGTCTATGACCGAAACCCATATACCAGGGAACATCTCTTACAGGCAATGGAACTGCCTTGCAGTGACATAGACGTGCAGTCTTGTCAAGGCTGGATCTGCCACACCAGAGGGTTTTTTGCCAATTCACTATATAATAAACTTTTTTGTTGTTGTAGCTACATGTCCTGGATGCTGTGTTCTCCTTTTTTTGATGTAGTGTCTAATGACAGCTGCAGGGGGTATATGATTGACTCATTTGTGTATGATCTGAAAGCATTGTTTGATTTTGAGTGCTGGTGACACGGTTTTGAAGCAAGTGCTTCATTTTGCCAGATGAATCAGAGGTTTTGTGAATTTAGTTTGAGTATTTGGATTTGTGTTTAAGGTTTTGAGAAAATGATTCTTGTAATTGTAATATTCCCATGATAGTTTGACCTTGATAATAGGAGTCCTTGAGACTGAAAACTTACCCCTGGCATTTGAAATCACATTGATATCATTAATTTGAAAGCTAATCAAGAAAAACAATTTTTAAACAATGGTAGTTTTCTTCAGGATCTAGTGCAGCAGCTACTGAAGATACATCATACTTGTGGACACCCTACTGAATCAGCAGAGTTTCAGCTACAGTTTGGTGTTAGATCCATGTTTATAGCATTATTTGTTGTCTCAACATAGTGGGTTTTCGGTGAACCCTATACATGTGAACATTCTGGATCAGCAGAAATGGAATATTACTTAGATCCAGATCAGACTTGCTGTGTAGTAGAGCTTATGTGGTCGTTGCCATGCAATTTTTGTTTATAACAGCCTCGGAATCAATAAACAACACAGGTGAAAAATGATGAAGTGCAGCCACAAACCTTTAATCGTTCACTCAACCTTTAGTCCAGTCAAGCTCTGCCACAAACCTCATTTACTATAGTCTCCAAACTAATAGATAACAAAAGAACCTGAGTGACAACCTCTGTCCTCACTACAAAAGCAGAGGACACAACCACTTAACTGCCATCAAATACAAGGTGCAGCCTCTTTTTGGTCCTGAATACTGTAGACGAACTTATTGACAGCAAGATAAACTAACCAGTGTATGTATAATCTTTCCTTAAAGAAGGACCAAACTGACTGCCCAGCAGTGGAGCCACCAGGCTGAAGGCAAACATCACTGAGCAGACAGACTGATTAAGAAAGCTTCAAGTTAAGTTTTCATGTCATTTTTATGTGATTGGAATGCAAAGGTCAGACCCAGCTCTCAGGCTGCCTCTGGGAACAAGGATACACTATGGAAACACTTTGTTCAGATTTGCTTCAGCAGTATTTTAGTAGCTAATGAATGTTTGTGAATGTTGCTTAGCAATTGCAAGTCTAAAAAGTAAAAAAAATCAAAACATTTTGACAACTAAAACAAGTAGAAGATGTTTAATTTTCACAAATAGCAACCTTTTTGAATGAAAATAGTCAATGTAATTGTTATCATGACAACATTTCAGATGCACGATTGTCAACTTACAAATATATAAACTTTGGTCATATATTTGAAGTAACTGCAATATTACATTGTCACACTCTAAAGCACATGTGTCAAACTCAAGGCCGATTCATATTTATGTTCAGAAACGTTTAGTTTTAGTTTGTTCATTAAATGTTTATCCTGTTCAGCCCATGACCTAATGTGTGCTTTGAGTTTTGTGCTATTGAGTTTGACACCCCTGCTCTAAAGCAATGAGACAGGACCTTCATCAGCTTAATGCACAGCTTTAATTTATTTGATTTATGCTTTTAAATGTTCTAATGTGTATTGCTATTTTGCTGTCAGTCTGTCACATGATATGCAGTGTGACTGCAGTGTGGTGTTTTTTCACCAGCAGGGGCGTGTTTCCACTAGAAAGTACCTGGTAGCTGTTTTTCCCAGGAACTAAAGCCCAAGACCTGTCCCTGGGGTAAAAGTCCCTTGAGTGCATTTGGATTTGCATTTTCAAAGCTGTCATGATTCTGTCCCGTCGGCTTCCGTTCTCATGCTTTTATTTTGACATTACTTCCTGTTTCTGTATCACCTTAGTTTCAGACTTTTTCCTTTAATCAGCACTCATTGGTTTCACCTGTTTTCACCCCTTTATAGGCAGCGTCCCCCCCATTGGAAAGCTGTGAGATTGTTCTTGACTCCTGTGCAGACTTTCCAGCGTTCTTGCTTTTTTTTTTTTTTTTTTTTTTTTTTTTTTTTTTTGGGGTGATTCCTGTTGTGACCTCTGATTGTTTAGACCACCGATTCTGCCTTGCCCTCGTGATTCAGACTGTTTTCTTTGTATGGTTATCGGACTTCCCTCTCTGACATCTCGTTGTGGATTCCTCGGCTGTAGTGATGGCCATATGAAGCCCCATGAAGCTTTGAACCCTTTTGGACCATTGTATTGAAAATTGGTTCACTACTTGAAGCTTCATTCATTGAGCACGTGGGTGACATCTGCTGGCGCAGTGGTTGTTGTGCAGCCTTGCAAAGGTGACACTGATGCATCTTGTGTCTGCATGAGTTTTGTTGTAATGTGGAAATGACCTAAATAAAGCTGAAATCTAACTTCATTTTACGTGTCTGCTTTTTGTTTTTCTTCCTTGCCTTATAAAGTATCTGAAATGAAATGTTGAATACCTAAGTAATCCTCCTTCCCCAAGAACTCTTTAAGAATATGAAATGGATTTATAATTATTCATCCCAAATTACACACTGGACAGAGTAAATATGTACAGGGTTCAATGAGGCTGTGGATGTAATTAATGTTCTGACAATATAATATAATACATTATGTGTTCTGATTGTGGCACTTGTGGTCTTGACTAAATCTGAACTGATCCTCTGAAATCAACAACCTGCTCCACAGCAACACATTTTACTTTGGTTAAAAGTGAGCAGGCATTATAATGCCAGAGAACCGGAAAAAAGCACCAACTCCACAGCTATTGTACAACAATAATAAGTATTAAGAGAACAGATACTAACATGCACATTTCTACTTATCAAGTGCTTTATTTATGTATTTCTTGGAATGATTCACATCATTTTGATAGCTGTTTTCTTGTTTCACTTAGTTTGAATTTCAGAGCTGATTTCTTCATCATCCTTGATCTCTTTGGTGACAATCATCACGTTACGAGTTGGAAGTCAAAGAAGGGGCAAGGGTACTGCAGGACAATGCAGAAACAAAGGTTATCATTTTGTTGTCTCAGATCAACAAGCTAACAAAGCTGCTAACAGTGTTGGTATTTTTAATTGTTTAACATGTACTACCATACCACCAGTAATTAATTAAATTAATTGGAATTAACATCAGGTTTAATGGCATAATCACTTCTATATTTCTACCTTATTTTTAATTGATATATCTTTATATAATACATTTTTGTTACTGAAAATGTTTGTTCTTTTGTTTCATGCCCACTGATTTACACATTTAAACTTTACATTTTTACTGCTGCCGTTTGGTTCATCTCATCTGACAGTGTGTAATCCTCCACAGAACATTAGGGCATGCTTACTTCATAATATGATTATTAAGGATTTTTTGTTACATTCCCAAAACCTGAGTTTCTGGAAGAGAAAAAATATTAGTTTTTGACTGCTGTCCTGTTGTAACTGTCTTTCTGATGTTTTTCTGTAGCTGCAGTATGACACCGATCATTTACTGATAAAATCCCAGTATCGACCCATTATGGACTGGTTACCTTATTTTGACAGCTCTCCATCGATCAGCCTCCTGTACTCTGTAATCTCCTTCTCCAGCCTGGTCTTAGTGTCCAGCAGTACCTGGTACTCATGTCTCTGACGCTCCAGGTCAGCTCTCAACTGACCCAGCTGGTCTTCCATAGCAGTTACATTTCTCTGGTAACCTGCTAGCATGTTGGCATATTTGTTCTGGGTATCAGCAAGGGTTCCTTCCAGGGATGCTTTCTGAAGGGAACAAGAAACAATGTGAGGGGATTTTGACACTTTGATGATCCACATGAAAACAAAAGAATAAAAACTTGCAGAAACCCACCATGCTGAGCTGTGACTGGAGCTCAATCTCCAGATCATGCAGTGAGCGTTTCACCATTGTGACCTCAGATTGTGATGACTGAAGAGATTCTGTGCTCACAGCAACCTCCTTATTGAGTGACTCAGACTGTAAAACAATAAAAATATAAAATAAACAATGAAAAATGTCAGAAATGCCTTCTGAATGAGATACAAGTCTGTTAAAACTGCTCATACAGCAACATGCATGCAGATGACACTCTATTGTTTGTCACTTTTTTTTCACATCCCTTTGTGTTTTTAGTGCTCACTTTGCTTAATGAACTGACCTCAGATGATTTAATAGAGTTATACTTTGTAAATGAAACTTCTTTTTTTTTTTTACAGTGTCTGTGGCATATTTTTGCTACAGGAGGCACTCCTATGGGTCCCACTAGAGACTAGGGAAAACCAGCCTCTACAATGATTTAGGTTGGAGGACTTGTTGATATTGTGCTATATAGCACGGTCAAGAACTTAGAAGGAAGTCTTGAGTTGTCTGTCTGCAGTTCTTTAGGCAATCCCTAGATTCTGTTAAACTCCTAATTGTATTGAAAGGAATTTAAAAAAAAACTCAATTTTCTCTGGAAATACATAGTACTACTAGTTTCGCCTCATGCAATTGCTAATTTCACTTCTTTAGATGTATTTTTGGTAGTTATTATGAAATGTATCACATTGTTATAAATACATTATGCCTGAAAGAAAGTTATATTTGAGGTGGGTTTGCTTTGAACTATGACAATCTAGTAAAGAGCTCCCCAACATCAGAAGGTTTATGTTGCTCACCTTGGCCTGGAACCAAGCCTCCAATTCTTTGCCGTTTTTCGTAGCAACAGTCTCATAGTGTTCTCTGATTCCAGCCATGATGGCAGACAAATCCTGCTGAGGAGCAGCATCCACCTCCACGTTCACCTGACCACTCATCTGCCCCCGCAGATTCAACAGATCCTGTAGGAAAGCACATCCAGTCAGTGCATAAATAATTTAGAAATCCATTAGATGGTCATGGCTATATGATTTTGGTTTTCAAGGCAGAATTCCAAGATACTGTGCTTTTCTTTTTTATATATCATTTTATATTAAAGCCTCTCTGGACTATTCTTCAGATGAATTTAACAGTTTGAAAAGTCTGAACTTGGGATTGACATTATGTAAAATAAATGATTCATCAAAATAATGAAGACATTTTATATACAACAAGAATTTTGAAGCAATTTAATGCCTTGATTTTGATTTTACCATGTGCTATGACACCAAGTCACAAAAACTTACGAAGACTTACTTGAAAACATGACCAATAATATTTTTTATTTGAACCTTTTGGAAGTCACTTTATTTTTTTCTTTGTAAATAATGACACAGCAGAAGCTACTGGTGCAACTTCACCCACTGTCAAGGTGCACAAATGCAGAAAAGCAAACTGGAAAGTAAAAAATATGGCAACACATGCAGTGTTTTGAGCAACTTTAATGCAACATAAAGCCTTCATCAGGGTCTAAAACCTGTGTGGTTTTGTGTGCTCATGGCCTTCATTTGTGCACCTTTTGTTTCTCTTTGGTTTTATGCTATTTCACATATGTGGTGTCACCTGTGTCAGTTTTTGGACACACCCGTTGCCCCTTTGTCAGTTTGATTCTTGAATGTGATTGCCCTATGACCACATGACCATGTACTTAATTTGCTTATGTGCATGTTTTTATTGGCCAACATGTATGAGTTTGTATGCGATTGGTTGTTTTTAAAAGATTTTTGCTATACTTGTACTTTTATGGAACTTCTTATTGTGTGTTTTCTATAGGCCCTGACGAAGGCTTTATGCTGAAACGCCTTGGTCTTTTAACGATGCATTAAAGTTGCTTGGAACACTGCAAATGTTGCCAGGCTTTTTGCTTTCCTCTTTGCAAATAAAGAGAAATATTTTTAAGTAGAAATTTGGATGTTTTCCTTCAAATGTCATGGGTTAAAATAAATAATATTAATATATAATTTCTTATTTTATTATTAGTTTGTACAGTTTGCAGTTTTGAGAACACCTCCTCATGGTGCTTCTTAAGTTGGGCGAGTTCATCCATCAGGCCCTCAATCTGCATCTCCAAATCAGATCTTCCCAGAGTCAGTTCATCCAGGACCCTCTTCAGCCCTGCAGCGTCAGCATCCACACTCTGACGCATGGCCAGCTCATTCTCATACCTGTATAGCAGCAGCAGTCAGTTAGCTGTATCTGTTTGAACCTTTAGAAGGGCCTGTCTTTACATATTTCTGGCAAAAAAAAAAAAACAACTTTGGTGTCCATTGCAAAGAATGACTACTATCTCTCAGAGGCAGAGGTTGGTTCTTACTAACAATCAGCAATGGATTATTTTATACATAGTATAACCTAGTATTGTAATTTCTCATATAAAAGGCAGTTTTAAAAAATACTGGTCAAGTATCAGAGAATAACCTGGGTGTGGCCAAAATGAACAAATAAATATCTGGGCCCAACCCCCAGTGTCAATTATTCTACACTTACTTGACCTTGAAGTCATCAGCAGCCAATTTGGCATTATCAATTGCCAGGTAGAGAGCTCCATTTGTACGGGTAGCATCTAATATCTGAAAACAAAAGATGAATAGATTTAGACTTGTTTTATTTTATCCTCTTGTATCAAGAGTCTTTAAACTATAACGCAGAAACAAGGGTGTGGCTGCAGACTGGCCTTAAATTTAACAAAAATTTTATGGGAACTGTTCGGTTTTTCATTTTCATATGTATATAGAGAGGATGAATACAAACATTCATGAGGTAGCTACACAAAACAAGGTTATGCAAATAGAACTCAAATTTCCCATCAATGCTTTAGTGGTTTTCTGTTCTTGTTTGCACATCATACAAAACTAGAGCTGGAGCCTGAGTGCTTACAGCTTAAGATAGCCTTTGTTTGACTAGGGTGTGGCTGCACCTGCATTCATCCTGTACAAAACAACACATATGTCCACCTGCCGCAGGGCTTTTCATGTTGGTGAGGTGTAAGCTTTTGTATGGGAAACAATTTGTACACCATATAAGGCGTACATTCAGACAAACCAAGCATCATAGACTTAGGCAGCATTCTAATCTTGATGCTTTTACATAATCTCACCTTTCTCATCTTTCTTTTGTGCATCTGCCATAAAACTTACCTTATGATAGAAACAAATCTGTGTTCAGAATCAGAACCTGGTCTCACCTGGTCTTGCAGATCATGGATGTTGGCCTCATATGCAGAGAAATCCTGACCCTCATGTTTGGTCTTGCAATCCAAGAACTCTCTGATCTTGTGCTCCAAGTCACTGTTGATCTTCTCCAGTTTGCGCACCTTTTCCAGGTAAGTACCCAGACGGTCATTCAGGTTTTGCATGGTCATCTTTGAATTGTCGGAGATACCAATGGCATCACTCAGGTTGAAGCTATCTCCTGCAGCAGAAAACCCTGCACCAGCAGAGGAGAAGCTTCTCGGAGCACTCACACTGGAGATGAGGACCCGGGAGCCTCCAGCACCACCATACATGCTGGGGGCCCTCTTCAAGCCAAAGCTTCTATCGGAGTACATGACAGGGCGAGTGTAGGACATGGTGGAGGTGGTTGCTTACTCTGGCGGGAGAGGAGTTAATGTGAGAAAGGCCGGACTCTGCTCCTTTTAAGCCACCTGCAAGTGAGGGAGGTCTGCAGGGCCCAGCCCTGCAGGGCCCAGCCCTCAGCACATACAGGGCAACAGACACAAGCACATAGAACCAGTGGGAGGACAACAAACAGCAGCCACAGATGAATGACTGCAGGAAGTTTATATATACGCATGCTCCGCAATGATATCACGCTCAGAACCTTGAACATGTCTTTCATGCTATTTGTTCAAGTTAACCTGCTCTCCTGTAAACTTGATGGGATCTTTTTTCATCCAATTTGCTTCTGATGTTTGCACTTGTGGCATTACGAATCTCCCCCCATATCAAATGCACCTGGATTCCTCTGCATGTCCAAACCTGTTTGTTGTTCCTGAGCTTTATCTGTTATTTTGGGCCCTGCAGGTCCCCTATCTATTCAGTCACTGTCTAAGCAAACAATAAAATGCTTTGTACATTTGGACAAAAGGAATAGCTCAGTGTGATGATATAAATTTCAAAATAAAACTTCATCCTACAGTTGTATGAAATATGTCTGTATTATACTGTATGTTAAAAGCATGTATGCAGCCAGCTCGGTGTTGTCAGTCACTATCATGAACGGTGGGAGAAGTACTCAGATCATTTATTAAAGTAAATTTAGAAACTAAGAATCAAAAATACTACATTACAAGTAAAATGTATTATCATTAAAATCTTGCTGATTGCTTTTTTGGAAGTGGCTATATTGTATAATATTAACACTGAATTGTATTATTGCCTATTATTGCTTTATGTTGTAATTTGTCATTGTGTAGCCAATTGTAGGTACCCCATATGCCACTGGGTACTTTATTTATAAACTTCTCCTCCATGCTTTATGAATTCAGGTTTTACATGTAAAATGTAAGGACAAAACAGTGAGTACACTAATCACACAGATTGCATGGAAATGAATTGAATTCAATTCTAATTTTGAATTAAATGCTGCAGTGACAGAGCCTTAAAATACAATCATCCAAAAATGGCCGTATTTAATTAATTTAGTTGTATTAAATTCTTAGTAAGTATTTTCACTTATGTCTAACCTCTTAGTTTGGATTATCTGTTTTTTTTGTTGTTGTTTTTTTTTTATTGTCAGTAAGGTGTCATTTCTAAGTGGCTCACAATTGAGATTATTGTAAAGTTTTGGTCACTCTAAACTTTGTGTAACACACATTTGATAGCAAGTTAAAATGACCAGTGCAGCATCACTCAGCCTGAGCGTCTATCCTCTGAGAGTAAAACCAGTCTTTGTGGTTTTACGAGTGCTGTGTCAACCTGGACACACCCCACAGGCAAATTTTCACTGGGTGTTGCCATCGTTACTTGGCCTCCTTTCATGGTAATTTAATGACAAATACACCTGTGGCTGTTTTAAAGTGAAAGGTTAACTCCCAGGTTTATGAATGTAAAAGCTGTAGAGGGTTGCTTTGTGTGTTTGTGTAGTTCTATCTTTGTGAGGACCAATTTTAGACCCTGACTGTAGAGACATTTAAGACAGTGAGGACATACAGTGAAAGTTTGGAGCACTTTTGAAAACCATGGACATTCTGTGGAAAGTGAGGACATCCATTATCTATACCGAATATTCTGAAGAGGGTCATGGGGAGCTGGAGCTTCAGCTAGCATTGAGCGAGAGGTGGGGTACACCCTGGACATGTCACCAGTCTATCACAGGGCTGACATTAAGAGACAAACAACCACACACACCCACACCCACACCCACTCCTAGGGCCAATTTAGAATTGCCAGTCAACCTAAATTGCATGTCTTTGGACTGTGGGAGGAAGCCAGAGTACCTGGAGAGAACCCATGCAGGCACAGGGAGAACATGCAAACTCCACACAGAAAGGCCCTGGGTTGGCCCGGGGCTCGAACCCAGAACAAAATTAAGGACAATTTTAGAAAATGAGCAAATCTTTGGAAAGTGGGGCATTTTGACTGGTCCTCAGGAGCAGTTCATCCACAGGAGATATTCATCTGTAAATTATGTTAACAATTTAACACTCATGAGGGACTGAGAACATAATCTTGCTGTTGGTTTTATAACTATGAATGGCTCTAGATGACTATGATAACCTAAAGTCTTCTTTTAAAAAAAATTAAACCAGAGTTTGTGTCAATGAGATCTTCTTATGACTTTTGTGACCTTTCCGTGAAAACCCAGCTCAGTCTTGTAACAGTAATAACAGATAGTGACAGTGAACTAGCCTCAACATATGTGATACACACTGCAGGTTTCAACCCATCCTCCTTTGAGCTTCACTGTCTCTAAGACTGGAAGGAGAAAGAGTTTGCAATTTCACATTTATTATTATTTATATGAATATCTGTGCTTTAAAAAATATTTTAAGCTTTAAGTTAATGCACATGATAGTGAAGTTATGTGAAGATCTTAATACTAGCTGCAGGAGGCTGAACTGAATATGTAGTTATTGGCAAGGCAAATTTATTTATATAACACATTTTCATATGCAACAGCAAGTCAAAGTGCTTAACACAATGCACAAGATAGATAAAACATTAAAATACATACAGTATATACATAAAACATTAAACTGCATGTTTCAGGAGCAATGCCAGAATCTTTATGAAAACTGCATAAGTAGGTTGATATTTAAAATTTATACCT